ATATATATATATATATATATATATATATATGGGATTGACTCCAGTAAAATGATACTTTATGGTGAGATGATATGCTACGGTCAGATGATGCAAAGCTCACCACTGGCCACTGTAAAACTCACCAATGACAACTACAAAGCTCACCAAACTATGAAAAAGTATTTTACATGCAATAAGAAACATCCATATCAAATTTTGCAACTTTTTTTGATGGATTTAAAATTTGGCCAAATATGTGATGGTACCACTAAGAGTTTGAGGCTAAAACTAAAAAAATAATAATTAAGACGTTATTGACAAGTAATTTTGACATTAAAATTTTACAAAGGATTTTACATGCAAATAAAAATATCCATGTCAAATTTGGTAACTTTTTTTGATGAACTTAAAATTTGGCACAAAAATGTAATGGTACCCCTAGAGGTCGCCAAAACTAAAAAATAATAATTTAGAAATTAAAAACGAGTCTTTTTGACATGAAAATTTTACAAAGGATTTTACATGAAAATAAAAACATTCATATCAAATTTGGCAACTTTTTGATGAATTTAAAATTTGGCCAAAAAATAAGACCGTACCCCTAGAGCTTGAGGCTAAAACTAAAAAAATTATTATTTAGATATTATTGACAAGTCTTTTTGACATGAAGCTTTTATAAAGGATTTTACATGCAAATGGAAACATCCATGGTCATTATTACAACATTTTTTTGATAGATTTAAAATTTGGCCAAAAAATGTGCTAGTACCTCTTAGTGCTCGTGGCAAAAACTAAAAAATAATAATTAAGATGTTATTCACAAGTCTTTTTGACATGAGATTTTGGCAAAGTATTAACATGAAAATAGAAACATCCATGTAAAATTTGGCAAGTTTTTTGATGAATTTAAAATTTGGCCAAAACTAAAAAAATTAATAATTAACATGTTATTGTAAAGTCTTTTTGACATGAAACTTTTACAAAGGATTTTACAGGCAAATAGAAACATCTATGTCAAATTTGGAAACTTTTTGATGAATTTAAAATTTGCCCAAAAAATATGATGGTACCCCTTAGAGCTGAGGCCAAAACTAAAAAATTAATAATTAAGACGTTATTGCCAAGTTTTTTGATATGAAACTTTTACAAAAGATTTTACATATAAATAGGAACATTCATGTCAAATTTGGAAACTTTTTTGATGAATTTAAAATTTGGCCAAAAAGTGAGATCGTACCCCTAGAGCTCGAGGCCAAAACGAAAAAAATAATAATTTAGGCATTATTAACAAGTTTTTTTGACATGAAACTTTTAAAAAGGATTTTACATGAAAATAGAAACATTCATATCAAATTTTGCAACTTTTTTGATGAATTTAAAATTTGGCCAAAAAATGTGATGGAACCACTAGGAGCTCGAGGCCAAAACTAAAAAATTAATAAATAAGAAGTTATTGACAAGTCTTTTTCACATGAAACTTTTACAAAGGATTTTACATGAAAATAGAAATATTAATGTCAAATTTGGTAACATTTTTGATAAATTTAAAATTTGGTCAAGAAGTATGATGGTACCCTTAGAGCTCGAGGCCAAAACTAAAAAAAACTAATTTAGACATTATTGACAAGTCTTTTTCACATAAAACTTTTACAAAGGATATATGCAAATAGAAATATCCATGTCAAAGTTTACAACTTTTTTTGATGGATTTAAAATTTGGCCGAAAAATGTGACGGTACCCCTAAGAACTCGAAGCCAAACTAATAATATAATAGTTAAGACATTATTGTCAAGTCTTTTTAACATAAAACTTTTACAAAGAAATTTACAAATAGAAATATGTATGTCAAATTTAGAAACTTTTTTGATTAATTTAAAATTTGGCCAAAAATGTGATGGTACGCTATACAGCTCGAGGCCAAAACTAAAAAAATTAATAACTAAGATGTTATTTCAAGTCATTTTGACATGAAACTTTTCAAAGGATTTTACATACAAATACGAATATTAATATCAATATTGGTAATCTTTTAGTGAATTTTAAAATTTTGCCAAAAAATGTGATCGTACCTCTAAAGCTCGAGGCCAAAATAAAAAAATAATAATTTAGACATTATTGACAAGTCTTTTTGACATTAAACTTTTTTACAAAGAATTTTACATGCAAATAGAACCATTCATGGCAAATTTTACAACTTTTTCATTTGGCCAAAAAATGTGATGGTACCCCTTAGAGCTCAAGGCCAAAAGTAAAAATATCATAATTAAGACGTTATTGACAAGTCTTTTTGGCAGGAAACTTTGACAAAAGATTTTACATGAAAACTTTGCAACTTTTTTGATGGATATAAAATTTAGCCAAAAATGTGATGGTACCCCTTAGAGCTTGAGGCCAAAATTTAAAAAATTAATAATTAAGATGTTATTGTCAAGTCTTTTTGACATGAAACTATTATAAAGGATTTTGAATGCAAATAGGAACATTTATGTCAAATTTTGCAACTTCTTTTGATGAATTTAAAATTTGGCCAAAAAAATGAGATCGTACCCCTAGAACTCGAGGCCAAGACTAAAAAAAATATAATTTTGACGTTATTGACCTATCTTTTTGACATGAAACTTTTACAAAGAATTTTACATGCAAATAGATATATCCATTCCACATTTGGTACCTTGTTTATGAATTTTAAATTTGGTAAAAAATGTGATGGTACCCTAGAGTTGAGGCAAAAAATAAAAATAAAAATAATTTAGACATTATTAACAAGACCTTTTAACTTCAAACTTTTACAAAGGATTTTACATATAAATAGAAACATCCATGTCAAAATTTGGCAGTTTTTGATGGATTTAAAATTTAGCCAAAAAATGTGATGGTACTCCTAAGATTTCGAGGCCAAAACTTAAAAAATAATAATGAAGACGTTAATGACAAGTATTATGAAATTTAACTTTTACAAAAGATTTTACATGCAAATAGAAATATCCATGTCAAATTTAGCAACTGTTTTAATAAATTTAAAATTTGGCCAAAAAATATAATGGTACCCCTAGAGTTTAAGGCCTAAACTGAAAAGTAATAATTTAGAAATATTGATAAGTCTTTTAGACATGAAACTTTTACAAAGGATTTTACATGAAAATAAAAGCATCCATGTCAAATTTGGGAATTTTTTTGATGGATTTAAAATTTGGCCAGAAAATGTGATGGTACCCCTAGGAGCTCGAAACGAGAACTAGAACAATTATAATTAAGACGTTATTGACAAGTCTTTTTGACATAAAACTTTTACAAAGAATTTTACATGAAAATAATAATAACCATGTCAAATTTGACAACTTTTTTAATAAATTTAAAATTTGGCCAAAAAGGATGATGGTACCCCATTGAACTCGAGGCCAAAACTTAAAAAATAATAATTTTGACATTATTTACAAATCCTTTTGACAAAAAATTTTTACAAAGGATTTTACATGCAAAAAGAAACATTCATGTCAAAGTTTGCAACTTTTTTTGATGGATTTAAAATTTGGCCAAAAAATGTGATACTACCTCTAAGAGCTAGAGGCTAAAACAAAAAAATAATAACTAAGACGTTATTGACAAGTCTTTTTGACATGAAACTTTTAAAAAACAATAATAAATGCAAAAAGAAATATCCATGTTAAATTTGACAACTTTTTATGATGAATTTAAAATTTGGCAAAAAAATATGATGGTACCCTAGAGCTCGATACCGAAACTAAAAATAATAATAATTTAGACATTATTGACAAATATTTTTGAAATGGAAATTTTGGAAAGGATTTTACATGCAAATAGACACATCCATGTCAAATTATGCAATTTTTTTGATGAAATCAAAATTTGTCCAAAAATGTGATGGTACTCTAGGAGCTCGATGTCAAAACTAAAAAAAATAATAATTAAGCATTCTTGACAAGTCTTTTGGACATGAAAATTTTACAAAAGATTTTACATCCAAATAGAAACATCCATGTAAAAATTGGAAACTTTTTTGATAAATTTAAAATATGGCCAATAAAGTGAAGGCACCCGTAGAGCTCGAGGTCAAAACTAAAGAAATAATAATTTAGACATTATTAACAAGTCTTTTTAACATGAATTTTTTACAAAGTATTTTACATGCAAATAGAAACATCCATGTCAAATTTGGTATCTTTTTTGATAAATTTAAATTTTGGCCAAAAAATGTCATGGTACCCCTAGTGCTCGAAACCAAAACTAAAAAAAATAATAAATTAGACATTATAAGCATGTATTTTTTGACATAAAACTTTTACAAAGGTTTTTACATGCAAATAGAAATATCAATGTCAAATTTTGCAACTTTTTTTTGAACAAAATGCT